AGACTGGGTGCCCAAGGGGGCTAGAGCAATGTCCCTCTGGGCCATAGCCTCATCTTTGGTGTCCCTCACTAACTCAGGTGCATGGTGGGAGAGGACCCATGCCAAACCCCTGTGGAATCATTAACCCACTAACCAGCTGTGCATGCAGCCAGCCCAGGCACACGTGTGGGTGGCAGGGCAGGGGAGGCCTTGTCCACAGCAAGAAGCCATTGGGGTAGGATAGGAGAGGCCATGGCTCCTTTCCCCTTTCCTGCGTGCCCCCCACCCCCGCTTCCCTGTCTCCCTCTCAATTCCTCCCCTCGCGTCTCCCCTCCGCCTACCTGTGCATCTTTGGTCCTTCATGGCATCAGGAGGTCCTGGCTGAGTCAGGAGGGCCTTCCTGAGGAAGGGGCAGCTGAAACAAAGGTGGGCGACTTCACGGAGAGGCAGGAGTATGTTGTGTGTGCCTTTTTGGGTGGAGTGTGTTGGAGCAGGACATGTGACAAGGGGAATGGAGGTCCCAGCACGGGAGGCCTCAATGTAGGCCAAGGAAAGGCCTTTATCCCACTCAGGGTGCCCTTTGATATAAACAGGATCTCGAAGAGTGGACAGTGTGTGACACACGGGACAGGGGTTCTCCAGAACCCCGGGCACTGGTTTCTGGGACCTGAAGGGTGGGGCTGGGGCCGAGTCCACGTGTTCAGCAGGCTCCCACAGTGACGGGTGGGGGAGGCCCAGCACTTCACATTGGGAACAGCTTCGTGGGAAGTGGTAGGGGGTGGTCAGAACACGGCGCTGCCTCTCTTCTGACCCTGCCTCTCCTGAGCCAAGAGCCCCACTGCCTGCCCGAGGCCTGCCCTGCCCACCCACCCTCTCTCTTCTAATGATGTTTTCCTTTGTCTTTGGTCCGAGCTAAACTGACCTTCCATGGAGGCCTGGGTTTGGCTGCCTGGGTGACTGTGAATTCTTAGATTGAAGGTGTTTCAGAAACAAGTCCTTTGTTCTGGAAGACTCTGTCAGGGGTCAGGATGAGGGTTGCTGCTGGCCAGCAGCAGGGTCCTGGACGGGGGTGGGGGTGAGGCATGGGCTCTGAGTGTTGCCTTTCTCTGTTTCTCTTGGGGAGCAGGCCGGGGCTGCTCCCATGGGTGGGTGGGGAGGGGCCGTAAGCTTCTCTACCTCTTACCGTACCCCTCACATGGACGCCTGCGTCAAGAGCCCCTAATTGGACCTTTGGCCACCTGCGAGGGAAGGGCAGACTTAGCCCTGAGTGGTGAGTAGCCAGCAGCTGCCTGGGCATGTGTGCTGTTGCACGTTTCAGAACTGGGCTCAGGTCTGGAGGCTCGAGCACTCAGGGCACCTGCAGGGGTGGTCTGGGAGGGGGGAGAGGGGTTGGCAACCTTACCTGGGGTAGAACTTGGGGGTCCCCTGGTCCCTTGAATGGTGTCAGAGCCCAGTGGATGCCAGTGATCTGGGGGGTGGCGGAGGGAGCACATGGGTACATTTAGTTGTGACCTGGCGTGGCCATATGCTTGTGTGCTGGGCGCCTGTTGTCCAGAGGACCCAGACACGTGTATGAGCTGTCACCTTTTTGTGGTGGCCACGATGTCATAACCTAGCATGTCATTTAATACTAACTCTTTTTTTTTTCTTTTTTTTTCTTTTCTTTTCTTTCAGGGCAAAAAAGGTTTGTATTGTGTTTTTTAAATTCTTTTTCTTGGAAGACAGGGACCTCATCACCCAATGTTTTTGCCTTGTCAGTAGTTTTCCTTGGCCTGGGGCTGCCTCTCTTCTCTGTAAATGGGGATAAATCCCCCTCTGGCTGGACTGGGAAAGGGGGCCCATTGAGGCCAGGGCATCACTATGCTGATGTGGGAGGCACTGGCCAGCATTGTGCTGGCAGCCCCATTGGTCTATCTGTTTGTATGTGTGTGTGCGCACGTGTGTGCGTGTCACAGTAGAAGATGTGTGCATTCTCGTGGGCGTGTGGACTCCTCACTGAGGGGCAGGGCTGATTGTTTGGTGACAAATTCTTTATTTGGCCTTAGCCTGAGAAGGTTTCCCATTGTGCCTCCACCTGAGCTGCCCTGGGCTGCAGGGACATGAGGGGTCATCTGTCCATCCCTCAGTCTCCCAGAGCATCTCCTACCTAGGAGGCACATTGGTTTGCCCTGGGGGGTCCAGCCCCTGGGACCCCCAGGGGCAGCCTGAGAAAGGGGTCAGTGCTCTGTGGCCTCCTCACCGTGACCCCAGCCTCTGCCCCGAAGGAGTTCACGCCGAAGGATTCGGGAGTACCTAGAAGAGCATCACCTGGGACACAGAAGGGACTTTAGGAACCAAGGGCCCTTGGAGATTGTCTTGTTGCCCCCATAATTCCTTTCACCTCTCACCACACCCCCCATTTGATGATGGGAAAATGGCCCTGAAGACTGGAAAGCCACTAGTCAGGGTCACTCAGCGAGTCAGTGGGGCCAAGGGGACGCTGGAGTTCTTGCAGCTGAGCCACTGGCCTTGACCCATGGGACCTGCTGTGGCCTCTTGGGGCTGCTGTCAGGGGCTGTCAGGAGACAGATGTTGTGCCTTTGGCACCTGGGGCCACCGCGATGCCAGCTCTTTGGAGGGGTGGTTTCTGTGCCCTGTGACCATAGGTGTGCATTGTGGGTATGGCGGCGCGGTGTGGCCCCGGGTAAGAGCAGGGGCCCCGGGAGGGCTCCGGTCCTGGCTGTGTTCCCGGCTGCTCGGCCACCAGCAGGTCGCCTGCCCTGTTTGGGCCTTGGTTTCTCCAAGTTCATCCTGGACAATTGGCAGTGGAAGACCATGCATGGGTGGTGATGGAGACAGGAACTCCGAGTGCTGGCTGTGTCTAGCACTTCCTTAATGACCCTTTGCATTGTCACACAGCCCTGACAGGTCCTATTAGCAGACGAGGAGGCTGAGGCTGGGACAGAGGTGTGCAGCCAGTCAGCAGGGGACTGGGCGGGGGTGGGGAGAAGTCCAGAAGTATAGCTGAGCCCCTGGCTCTGAACCTGGAGGTCCTGACCATGATCTCTTGGTGCTGCCGTCAGGGGTAGATGCCTCAGACCGATGGATGGGTGGATGACAGCCAGTCGACCCTGGGGAACAGTGAGGGCACAGGGAATGAGAATGGAGTGGGACCAGGGAGGGCGCAGACCTCGGGGGTCAGTGGGGTGTAGCTTTCCTTAGGATGGGTGGGGAGGGCCCGGCCTTTGAGGGGATGGGAAGTCAGGCCCCACAACACCCCTGACCTTTGAACCTGAGATCTGCTTGGTGATTTCATGGTGCCATCCATCAGGGCAGATTCCGTGCTAAGAGGGCAGACCTGAGGTCCATGACAGAGCACACTGTTGGACCCACTCTTTCAGCTGAGGTTCCAGGTCATGCTGGGAGTGGTCCACAATGTCCCAGTGTCCCATGTGCAGGGGTGGGGGCAGGGGTGCTCTTTGACGTCAGAGGCTGCTGATGGATAGACGGGGCCCAAAGCCAGACAGGGAGGTGTGGATCAGGGGGTCTGTCGCATGCGTGAACCCTGAGTGAGTGAGTGCCACCCTCCCTGCTGCCCGTGCTCCCTCGGGACCCCCTCCCCCTCCGTAGAGCCATTTTGCCACTTTTAGGACAGAGTGTCCTTGGCCTTCTCCATTGGGTGGGCGATGATGGGAGAATAACCTGAACGGGGGCTCCTTGGTGCTCAGACCCTGAGTTAGGAGGTAGAGCACAGCCTGCCCACCCCTCAGTTCTCCTGTGGGAAGAAGGCTCAGGCCAGTGGGAGGACTTGGATTTCTGGCATCCCTACTTTGCACCCTTAAGAAGAAGTAGCTTCCAGTGTATCTTCTGTGCCCCCCAACCCTTCTTCCAGATTGTGTGTCAGGTACCAGGCGGGGCCTGTTTCAGGGGAGAAGCCCAGCCCTCACCATGCCGTCCCCCCCCTTCTCCCTCCTCCACTTGTCCCCTTCTTCTTTCCTGCTTGCCCCCAACCCTCCACCTTCAGAACAAACCACAAAGTCAGATAATCTTTTATTCTGCTTTATTGTGGGGGGTGGGGAAAGGTGAGAGGGGGACGGTGTGGGGGAAGGGTCTCCTCCCCGTGGCAAGAGCGCGACGGTCTGGTGGGAACATTCAGTCACTTGTCACCGTGCCCTGGGGGTCTCGGACTTGCCCAGTGTCTCTTGGCGCCCCCTCTCCTTGTCATGGGCCTCCAGGCCCCTGTGCTGTCAACGCTGGGGGGTGGGTAGGGAGCCCCTCAGTGTCCTGTGGAGTCATGGTGACTCTCAAGGATGCAAGTCCGGTAAGTACTGGTATGTTGAGA